AAGGAAGCTTCCTAAGAGATTTGCGTTCTGTCGAGTTGCGTGCACGCACCACTACAACTGCCCGCAGTCATGTTCTCTGACGTGTACCCATTTTGTACTTTCGATTGCCAGGCCAGCTTTTTGCCACTATTTGCTCTGTCTAGTTTTTTCTTCGATCATTGTTAGTACAATTATCGACAGAAACAGCTGGTTATTTTTGCCAAAATTATAGTTATCGAAGCCGATGTTGGCATCCTTCTGACAGTCCGGCATGCCGCCGCCGCTGCTGCAAAAAATTCTTTAATTTATGGAAAGGAGCAATCATTTCACTAGCACTTTAACGCGGAAAACTCGTGAAAAGCCGGCAAAAAAGAAACCACCACAAAAAAGTGATGTATGCGTCCATGGGAAAGCAGAAAAGAAAGAAAGGTGTATGCTTGTTTAAAGGCAGATACATGGTAGATGTGCTCCAGTGGTCGATCCTTTACCAATAAAGATCAGGGTTGCTATGTTTTAATACACTGCATCCGGTTATAAAGAGGAATGGTCCGGCTTTCTCCAAATCCGTATTCATTTGTAAAAGAGAACTGGGCCCAGGACAGATTTTTTATATCAGAAAATAGTGTTAATTTGTGGTTTAAATCTCTGTCTGTGCAATGACAGGCTTTTCCTTTTTCCCAGTAATAAGGGGTATATTTTAATATTTCTAATTTTACAAAGAGGGGAAGTAGCAGAGAGTGTCATTAAAAGAAATATACGGAGGCTTCTTTCAACTGATAACAACTAATTCACTGCACTTGCTATGCCCATGAACTTATTCATCTTAAAACAAAGCTACATCCAGTTTGTTTCGGTCACGCTTCTAGCCATTTTACTTTAGTTTAACCTATCTTAACAATAATTGGTAAAATTGTTTCTTCAGTAACTCGTTTTTAAGCTTTTGAATTGCTTCACATGCATTTCACAGCACTTACTTTTAATACTTACATTGTGTATGCATTTCAAAGTAGTTTACCTCTGTATTTGCGGCCTTTTCAAAGCTGTTGTAAATTTTCATTGCGATTTTGGCACTTTGGATTGCTCGAAAATAGAAACCCTAATTCCTCTTTGTTGTACGTAGCATCGCTTCTCTCCTAACAACGATGTTTTTTTTTTTCTATTTTTGTCCATCTAAAATTTGCGCAATAAAGTAATGCATTATCACGCTTCAGGCACCGTGATACGTTTACAGTCGGGCCAGTTGAAAAGAGTGGAAGAAATGAGTACGGAAGATTTTGTCCTTTCTGCGGCAATGAAAACGGATCTCATACTTTGTAACAGTACCGTTGTCCGAATTCAGGAAATCGAACAAACTCGACAAGTTCTCGTTACATTTGCTGTCGGTGAGCAGGCTACTCAGGTAAAATTATCGTTTCTTTTGCTGTCGATTAGTTTCTTAATGCTTGAGTCTTTCGAAAAATGAGCCTTTGATCTAGCAATAATTGATAATGATGATAATAATAATAATGGTGTTAATGATAATAACCGTATTAATAATAGGATCTTATTATTCTCGGTCTTGGTGTTTTTAATAATATGTGGTAACAAACAGTAAGTGCTCATTAGAACCTCGAAAGAAAGAAATAACTGTCTTTTCGAGGAATAGCTGCCTTTTCAGCTAGAGATTAATGCAAACTTATGATAGCCTTGATGATTTTCTTTGTCTCTCATTAAAGAGTTTTCCATTTAAAAATAAAATACTGGTACAGTGCGGTACTTTTACGGCACAAATTTATTAATAAATGGCAACGCGCACCAGACTAGCCGGTGGGATCATGCGTTTTGTGCAATTCAGCCAATCGAACGATTGCCTGTTAATGATTTTCACTTCCTTGTACTTTAGTCTTGCAAAAATAGTTCAAACATTAAATAACAGTTAAAAATTTCACGCACCAGCGTATGAAAGCTGAATTCGAAACCTTGAAGGATGAATATCT